TGAGAGCAAACCCACACAATTTTTTTTTAAATGAGGTTTTGTTTTTTGGTGGGTTGGTGTTTTTTTTGTTGGAAGGTATTGACCCACAGCGCAGTTCAGACAGGTATGTGCCCCACAGCTCAGGAAACGGAGGCAGGGTAGCTTTTAGCACGCTTTAACCATATGATTTGGGGTTGGAAGACTAACCTGATGGTAAATAAGCTGGCAGAGCCTGCCCAGAAGCGCAGGCATGAGATTCCTGTGTCCACACATCATCTTCACAAACAAGGAAAGACATGGTCCCTGCCTGCAGAAGGTAAAATAACAAACAACCCCAGACATTCATTTTCTGGCTTTGGTACAGGAAGAGGTATTTAAAAGTGCTAAACACACTGAACCTGAGCCATACTTGTCTGTAAATAAAGAACAATTATTGTTCAGGCTCAAAGGAAATGTCGCTTTTGGAATATCTGAAGAGAGGACTCTTACATTGACGTGAATTTCACCAGGACCCAGCCTCAAATAACTTGGTAATAAAGAGTCCAAGAGGTGTTCTGAGATGACAACCAGGAGAGGAGGAAGCTGCTGTGCCTGGGGCACAGCCCAAGGTAAACAGAGGCAGAGCAATAAATGGGATGAAAAAAAAAAACAACTCAGTGCAAAAGCAAAAGCATTAATATAACAAAGTCCAGAAAGACACCCCAGAGCCGCGGCAGCACCCACTGTCAGGAGACAAGCGTTCTCCTCCCCCGATCCCTGGTGTGAGCCAGCAAGTAACTCCTGGACAAAAAATAAATAAAAAAAAAGCTTGCTTTGTTCCCCATCCCCTCCCCACCAAGCCTGAGCACGTAGTATTTGTGGGAAAGTTTTCATGGGTTGTCACAGAGCACAAAGCGGAGTCAAACACCGCCTTTTTCTGCAGGATCAGTAACGACAGGGGAGAAACACCTTTTACGCACGCACGTACATCAAAGCACGTTAGTTCTTAGATTACAGAACCTCAGCATAAAGCAGCCTGCAGCTGCCAGCCTGGCACGGAAGGGTATGAACAACCAGAACTCCCTCCTCAGCCCTGGACAAGCATTGGGATTCTAGTGTATTAAACCAGTTTTGATTTCCCTATGCTTTTAGTTGTGTCTTACCTGTCGGGAGGGTTAAAAGAGGAAGCAGCTATTAGGTTTTGGCAGAATGATGTCAGCAGAAGATCGACAACCTGGAAGAAGAGACACACCGTCGGGCTGGGTATCTAGATTTACTTTTGTGCTGCGTATATTTTATATTTCCCCGACATCAAGACGAGGAGGCAAACGGGTGACGTTCACAAGTCGTAGGGATCCACCAGCATGGGGAAGGGATGGGAAATAACAGCTCAGGAATGACCTCGGCCAACAACATACACCCAGACAAGCCTGGCAAAGCAAGTCTAGCTCCTCACAGGATTCTCTGACAGAATATCTCTCTAGATCTCTCGAAGTATATTACGAAAAGATCTCGCCACCAGGCATCCAACAACTTCCAGGAGGTGAAAACGTACAAAGAGCCTGTGCAGGGCAGGGCGAGGTAGACAAAAGGAGAATGTATTTCCTGTTCCCCGCAGACAAAGCGGCCTTTCACGTACCATCCCGATGCGCTTTTACCTCCAACCCCGCTGGTTCCACACCCCGAGCCAGATGGTACTCACGCTCCGCTGGCTGGGTTCCAGCCCAGGGGCAGAAATGTCAATCGGGATTGGAGAATTCAGAATAGGGGTTTTGTTCTCGTCGCCGCCGTAACCCAAGACACTGGCAAGTCTGTCAGAAATCACTGCGATCTGCGCCGGCACATCTGCAGGGAGGTTTAAAGAGGAGAGCCAGGATGGAAGGTACGAAAGATTTACAACCCCACGTCACAGGAAGGAGAAGTGAAATATAGGAGCCCGAAGTATATTATGAAAAGCTTTAATGAGTAAAAAAAAAATAGTCAGCCGGAACACAGGGATCGTCATCTTCATTTTAGAAGACGGCATTATTTTTTCCCCCAGCGTTATTGCCAATGCTCATCAAGAATAAGTTTTCACACCAGGAGGGAACAGCCTCCCGAGGGTGGCCCACAGTCCCAGGAACGTGCTGGCAAAATTGATGTGGTACCGAGTGCTCAGCGCAAAGACCTTCAGCTCTGACCTCAAGTACGGGAAATATGTCAGGCATTAAAAAATATATATATACATATATATGTTCATAGCTGGAAGGATTATACAGCTCGGAGATTAGCAGCTTCAGGTACCAGTGGCAACTACTGCTGCTGCTTTTGGCTAGTGTCAGTCACATTTTATTAATGCAGCTTTTCTAACAGCCAATTACGGGTAGTTACAGCTTGTCTTCCTGCATACCTCCGGATTTCGCCGGGTCCACCATCAGCATCCTTAGCTCAGCCAGCTCAGCCTTCAGCTGCTCAGCAGGCTCTTTGGAAAGGCTGGGCTCTGCTTTGGAGTCATCTAGACAAGAGGGAGAGAAACGCGACACCTCACCCTCACCTCGGTTCATAAAAAGCACTCGGCCATCTCCGCGTACGCTTCCTGTAAAAGCAGTGTTTGCTTTTGTATAAGCTCTAAGAGATCCCCAAACTGTCAACCTGCCACATACACAGCTTCAGTTTTATATTCTAAATGTGCAGTTTGATTAATCATTTATGAGTTTACGGCAAGCTGCGGGAAGGAATTCAGTTTTTTAAAGACAAGAGGCAAAAAAAGAATTCTCCTTGCCTGAGCTCTCTGCCCCTCACAGAAACTTTTGCTGTCCTCAAAAGCCTGGAACTAGCCTCAAAATACAGACACAACAACATGAATATCTTGTCATCAGCTTCTCCTCAAGCCAAATATCTCCAGATGTTACATGTTACCCTCTTTTTTTTTTTTTTAATGAACAAATGAAAGGAAATTCTTTTTACCACTAGAAAGAGAGTGCCACCAGCAACAAGCTGCCACAGCACAGCCCCGAAAACCACCCATATGGTTCGTTACACAGGAACAGCGTCTCGTATGCCGGGCCAGAAACAACTCAACCATGAACCAGAGAAGTAAATAAACAAAGGCTGAAATTAATACTTGCTGTAAATGCAGAGTAAAGCAACGAGGCGCTAGGAGACTGCCAAGTCACCTTTACGTGCAAGAACGAGCACTAAGGAACAGGGAAGCCTTCGAGCTGAGCAAAGCTCTGTCCTGCCTTAAACTCAGTCTCACCCCAGGGATGGATTAGGGCACAAGGGATGGGATTACACAGAATCACAGGATGTGGGTGGTTGAAAGGGACCTTATAAAAGGGACCTTGAAAGATGTGCTGCCCCCTGCCAGAGCAGGGTCACCCGGGGCAGCCCCACAGGAACGCGTCCCGGCGGTTTGGAAAGTCTCCAGAGCAGGAGACTCCACACCCTCTCTGGGCAGCCTGGGCCAGGGCTCCGGCACCCGCACAGGGAAAAAGTTTCTCCTCATGTTTTTGTGGAACCTCCTGTGCTCCAGCTTGTACCCACTGCCCCTTGTCCTGTCACTGGACATCCCTGAGAAGAGCCTGGCTCTGTCCTCCTGACACTCCCCCTTCACATATTTACAAATATTCATGAGGTCACCCCTCAGCCTCCTCTTCTCCAAGCTGCAGAGCCCCAGCTCCTTCAGCCTTTCCTCCCCAGGGAGATGTTCCATCCCTCCATCATCTTAGTTGCTCTGCGCTGGACTCTCTCCAGCAGTTCCCTGTCCTTCTGGAACCGAGGGGCCCAGAACTGGACACAACGTGGGGTTACGCTTTCCCAGGTACAAGACTCTACACTTGCCCTTGTTGAATTTCATAAGGTATCATAAAATGTGGATTAGTGTGCAGGGAACCAGATTAGGGTGCAGGGGACAGGCTGGGACACAGCTCGGGCTGATGAGGATGCAGTGGACACAGCTCAGGCAGTGCCACCGGAGGTCACTGGCAATTTAAGAAGTCCTGCAGCGCCTGGGCTGCCCATTGGGATCCCGCTGACTCTGGCACGGGGATATCTCCCCATCAGAGCCGGTTGCCAGGACAACCTCCGCAGCCAGACTGCTGCACATCTGCGCTGCCCCAGGAATGCTTTGTCATGTCTCTCCAGCCACAGCCTCGCCAGAAAAAGCTTCCAGCACCCCGAGGAGGAGTCGATCCAGGAAAGATCCCTGCCCACCAGCCTGAGCTTTTAATTTCATACAAACCCGTGGATGTTGCCCATTTTAAGACGCGTTTGAAAGAGGTAGGAGAGCTCAATAACTCTTGTTTACACCGACATCGCGCCACTAACGTGGCTACAGTGACAAGACCTGAAACGAGTGAGACCTTCCCACCCAGGCCCACATAAACTACGTGCTGCGATCCCTTTCCAGCCCCTCCTATTTCCCCAGATCGCGGTCACCCACAGGAATCCGTCCTTAAAAAGAAGACGATGGTGAGTTTCAGACAACACAACACATCCCAGGGCTCAGGCATCAGCTGCAGCCTCTGCAGAAATCCCAGCCCAGCAGCACAGGTGGAGAAAGTCATCACTAGAGTAACCGTGTCGTCCCCCAGTGAGGCATAAAGGACATACACGTGTTTACGGACGGATTAATCGGCTGCAGCTGTTGAAAAATTTCACTTCAGGAGGACATTGATGGAAATGTTAACTTTTCTTCAAACTGACCCATAAGTAAATGTTGTATTTTTTTTACCTTGCGGTGTTTTCTCTTTCATAGCACGACAGGCTTGCACGTATGTGGAGTACAAGTTTGAGGGTATTTTATCAGCTCTATAATAATAATAAAAAAAAGACATTTATTATACTCCGTAACCACATTCAAACTTCAGCTTTATTAAATATAAACCGTGCTATGAAATGTAATTACGGAGGCTCTAAAGCATCCAGAGCACCTGCTGCATTTTATTAATCATCAACAGACATTTGAGTTCCATCCAATAACTGGATGTGAAGTCAAACATCCTGAACAGAAAGCCCAGAAGCCCAGAAAATAACACCAGGAAGTTACCTCTTCAAAGAATCTATAAAAGCCATGCGTGCATCCGGGGTTTTAGGGAGCTGCAACAGAAAAAAACCAGGCAGGTTAGGCACAAATTATCCATCTGCAAACATGTGTCTAAATGGGAGGATCAAAAATAAACTAAACACATACACACACAAAAAAGAAAAACCAAATACTAACCACACGTGGCCTGAGCAAAGCAGGGAGAAACCAGGAAGTGTAATAGGGCCGCCTGAAAATACTGAGACAGAAAAGAAATACAGCGAAATATTAACAATGCCCAAGCTGTGAAGCGTCATCTCATTACCTCAAGAATTAATTTAGCTCCTGCAAATAAAAAAAATACATGAATAACCACTGACAAATCCCAGGAAGTGTAATAGGGCCGCCTGAAAATACTGAGACAGAAAAGAAATACAGCGAAATATTAACAATGCTCAAGCTGTGAAGCGTCATCTCATTATTCAAGAATTAATTTAGCTCCTGCAAATAAAACAAATACATGAATAACTATTGACAAATCGAGTTCAGGTTAGCCAACAGTTATTCATTTCTTTAATTTTGCTTTTTATTTATTACAATGATTGTGGACTTCTCTTGCAGGTGCTCACATGCCTTTTCACTCTCTGCCCAAAGAGCCCGACTGCAAAGGAAGGGGAAGAATTCCCCAAAACCTCCTTGGCTCCCATCTTCCATTTTTCTTATTTGGTCATTTTGGTTTGGACTTGGCTTTTACTCTCAGCAGAGCTAAACCCAAGGAGAGTAGAGGAGCACACGGTACCTGGCTTCTATCACTGACGTCGGGATCTTCCTCGTGTTTTCAAATATCTGAAGGGCCTTCTCGACGTCGCGAAGCGCCTGGCCCTGGGGCTGGCTCACACCAGGAACAATGAGACAAAGATGCTGTGAGACATCGAGGGCAACGACAAATCTTCCCTGCTTGTTCTTTCAAGGCAAGCAACGGCCTCGTGCGAGGAAGGGAAGCGACCGAGCGAACGCAACCGAGCAACAGAAACTACCCAACGCGCAGAGTGAAAGCTGGCGACTATCCAGCCGTCCCCCATGGGGACGGTATCTTTCCTGCTCTGAATCCGGGTTATTTTTAGGCTATTTTAGTTCCTCTGTTTGGAATTATGACTCAGCATCTTTGCTTCCAGCCTGTGTTCCCACAGTCCAGGCAGAGGGACTCGTTTGAGTCCTAAGGCACCTTAAGGCTGCGACCACCTGGGGCCAGCTTCTCAACTTGGAAGAAATTAAATGAATCTTCATCCGGTTCATCCCAGGGGCAGATTTCATCGCAGCACGCTCAACTACCCCGTCACCAGCCTGTATTTCAGGCACCGTGTGGCTGCTACGCTTGTGATCAACGTGCAGGAAGAAGCAGGAGCCAGCTGCTTCCTCATCAATTAGGGTTATTAGCTAAAACTTATGATTAAACACAGCAGGAAACTCCAGGCTGTAGGATTCCCTCCCCAAATCTCCTTTAAATACGAACGTTTTGAATACAGCGCCAAAGACACAACACCCTACACTGAAAAGAATCAAGATACATATTAAAAAAAAAGGCTTTCCCAAGCGATCAAATCACTGGGAGCAAAGCCACAGGGGGAAGCGCCACCATCGTAATGTGCCGGTTGATCAGCAGAGCCCCAGCTCCTGCAAACGCACGCTGGACAACGCTCCCTTTTGTGCCTTAAATCCTCCCCTACGGAATCTCCTGTTTATTTTCTACACGCCGCAGCACAGGGTGGGCAAGAGGCAGTCAGTGTGGGTGCTGACGGGATGGCTAACGCAGGTGCTGTTTGGCCAGTAGCCACTGAGCTCCTCTACAGCCTCACCGCAGCCCGTTTGTCCTCTGCATAAGCCTGATTTTGATGAATTTGGGGAGAGCCTGCGTATTTATGGCTGCTAACCCCCCACCTTAAATCCGAGAAAGGTTTGGCAGCAAGCTCAAACTCGGTAGGAACGGCAAAGGTGGCTAATTTCAGCTCTTTTCCAGAAGAAAAAGGACAATGGGAAGAGTGTTATGAGGGTACCTGCACGGATTCGTCTGTGGCAGACAGGTCTTCGTAGAGCCCCATATCTTCTATGGCGACCTGCGCGAGGGGATGGAGAGACGCAGGTGGGCACAGCGCAGCTGGCATTTTGACAGATCCAGAAAAAACTCGTTTCAAGAGCGGCAATTTTTACTCACCTTGAGGTCAGCCAGCCTGGTTTTCGCCAGCGTGATGTACTCCAAGAGGATAGACCGGTGCTTCGTCGGCACGAAAGGCGGGTACATTATATGGACCTGAAATGCGGGATTCGCAACGAGATTCGCCATCTTAACTCTGGTTAGAGTTTACAGTCTTTTACCTCAAGTATTCCCCAAAGATGGTATCCGTGCTTGCTTTAAGAAAAGCCATTTTCATGGCAACTTACAAGTAACTTTTTCCCCAGAGAGCAAGATAAAAAAGTTAAAAAAAAATATATCACTGAAGCACTTAAACATGATAGGAGTTCTCCTTCTTGTCAAGTCAATAAAAGAACCTCATACTTCCTTATTTCAGGGAGAAAAGGTTTTGAATAATATATCAAAATATTGCAATTAGTGTAACGGCATCAGCAGCATGCTGATCCCAATTGAAGACACACAGTGCCATTTCTATAGTAACAAAAATAAGAAGTTGAACCCAATCCAAGGCACAAGCACGCTCGCTTTGGAGCGGTTCCCTGTCGGTCTTTAGAAAACTACCTCTGCTGGCCTCACCTTCAAGTAGGGCGCTGCTTCGAAGGGCACTAGCTCAGACAAGAATTCAAAGAGGAAGACCAGAGCTTTCTTACTGCTCCCGTGGTGACCGCCAGCGTTCCCAAAGGAAGCCTGAAATGTCAGAAAAAACAACAAACGTGGCTCTTCAGTGCGGAGAGAACCCCCACAGTGCATGAACCCCAGGCAGCTGTTACAGAGATCTGCTCTCTGTCAGGAAGCCTGAAATGTCAGAAAAAACAACAAACGCGGCGCTTCAGTACGGAGAGAACCCCCATATTGGCCGTGCCTGAACCCCAGGCAGCTGTTACGGAGATCTGCTCTCTGTCAAGAGGATCATTCTGGGGAAGAGCCTCCAGAGAAAGCCCACAGCAATCTCTGTGGAAGTTTTCTTTGAGTTTTTTTGTCCTGTTTGCAGAAAGCCTGCCGCAACACACTCAAAACGACGTTCTGATGCGCTGAGGTGAGGCCAGTGAGGGGAGGTAAGCAGAGGAACACCGAAATGCACGGCAGGATTGAGGCTCGGGGGGGAACCACGAATCTGCCAGTTCCTACACAGCTTTATCTGGGTGTTACAAAGAGAATAAGCCAATCTTGACACAGAACTCAGCTAGCTTGCCTTTTGATACATCAGCAAAGGCCAAGCTCAGATTTGCAAACTCATACAAAGGAATTTCCAGGTTTCAATCATCTGGAGGGGATTTGCATGCCGAAAAGACTTACGTGTTTACTACGAAAAGCTAGCGACCAATTATTTCTAAGGTCAAACACAGCAATTAGAGCTGCATGCAAACATCCAGGAAACCGGAACGCTTAATCTGCAAAAACCTACAACTTACGCAACAACAACACTGCTGGTTATCAAGATTCTGAAACACATCCAAGATCATGATTATAACAGGAATTACACGTCTGCCTTCCTGACAAGTAACTAGAGAACGCAAGATGGACTTGGAAGATGAAAGAAAATAAATACATTCTTTGCAGACACAAAGACAGTAATAAATATTCCATCATTCCTAATATCAATGCAACCACTTGTTACTCTTTTTCCCCGATTCCTAACTATCTCATTCCTGACTATCTGGTCTGAAACCAGGCAGCAAAACATGCTTTAGATTTCTCACGCACTTAAAGCAAAAACTACCAGTCAGGCCTCTCTTAGTCTTACCTTAAACCACTCGGAGTAAGGCATGAACACGGCAGGGCCCTCCAGAGCAGCCTGACGCGCGATCAGGAACGCCGTGATCATGTTTTCCATATCAAAATTCTCAAAGGCCTTTATCAGGAGGTGGCTCAGTAGATCTAGAAACATAAAACAACCTCAAGCTTTGCTCCTGACAACTGTGCTGTCATTTTATACAATGAGGGAAAATATCTACGATCAAACACAGAATCATTAAGGTTGGAAAAGACCTCTAAGATCACATCGGTCACACAGAGAAGGAGGCAGCTTGGGGAACTTTTGGGATTCAGACTTCACACGCTTCCAATGGTCAAATATTAGGATTTCAACCTGGAAGAACTTCAGGGAGCCCAGCAATGAGCTAAACACTACAAAACTCTAATAAACAAAGAGGTGAGATAGAAGAACGAAGCTTCAGCAACCGCTGCTCCCATTATTAATGAAGGTAATTATCAAATAACCACTCTTAGGTGCACACGACGTTTGAGAAGCATCAGGCACAAGGCCTGGCATTCACGTCGCCGCTGACAGGGAACATCTGACCGAAAAAGCAGATTTTCTGCTCCTCTTTTTCCGCACAGGAATCTCAAAACGGCAAGGACGAACGAGCACGTCGCCGTACCGCTTTTGCTCAGGAGGCTCGGCTGGCCAGTACCTGCTCACCTTTGAGAAGCTGCTCGGCCTCGGCATGGCAGACGGCCAGCGTGGAAACGCAGGACAGGACGTGCTGCCAGTTCACCTCGCGCGTCTCCAGGACTTGTTGCAGCTGGGAGATGGACTCCCGCGCGCTGAAAGCCACAAACAGCTAGCAGAGGGAGAGTAACTCATTTTAGCTGTGACACACAGCCACCCCTAAGAGTGAAGCGTGTGGTCAGGGTGAAAATAAACAGGAATAACCCAATTCTTTCAGAAGTCATGTCAAACTCTAACAGTGAAAACTCACATCTTGAATTATTAGCTTTGTTCTTATTAAAAGCTTCGCACAAACAAAAATCCTTCTGAGGACTTTTGCTTCGTGCTTCCTCCTGCCTACAATTTCTGGCCACTGTTTTTCAATCATCTCATTTCTGATCTTTTAATGAATATAAACACAACATAGTAAAGTCTTTTGTGAAGCCGGGAAGACGAACCTTGCGATACAAGGTACTGAGCAGCACGCACGTTCTTGCAAAGCTCCACTCTTTCTGCATGCGGATGGCATCGGACACTGCAGCCAGAAAAAAGAAAAAAGTTCACTCTTCAGCAGTAGATTTTAAAATACGCCGAAAATAAGTTAACCACACAAGATTTCCCTCTGGCTTTGGCAGCCAGATACATCAAAAATTGCCCGCTGAAATCCTCTCCCTCTCTCTTTCACATTTGGAACACAACCGTGGCGACAAGGCCCGTGTCATTTCACCTCAGAGCTCATCTTGGGATCGCACGCTCGTAGGCCAACACCGCACGCGCAGCAGGGAACCACCTTCTTTCCCCTCAAGAATCTCTTTCAGCTGGAAGCCAGCAAGGACACAGCTCTCACACGCAGCCGGCTCGAGATAGCTCAGAGCGATTTGGCCACCAGAGGTTTTGTAGCCCAAACATATTTCTTTCCTCCAAACATCACGCTTCTGTTCACAAGCTGAAGCTCTGTCTGAAAGCACCGCTGTTCCACCTAAAGTTTTCTCCTGAGTTACAGCCCTCTAAATTGATTTTTTTTTTTTATTTTTGTGTCTGATCTGTCACCCCGGCAAAGAGTTCCCCTGGCTCTGGGTCCTCCAGGCCCACCATAGGCTGTAGAGGCTCGCTTCTGCCCGCCTCTTCCTACCTTTCAACAAGGGGTTGTAGGTAAGAACCTCGGTCAGGGTGTGTCTAAAAAACTGCCGCAAGGAATCCGGACAAACTGCACTTTTATAAGTTGACACATTGAACATGTTCAGCCTACAAGTGACAAGGAAAGAGTCAGAAACAATGTGCAGATGTTTGATCACCGAGGGATGGAGCAGAGACTCACTGCTCTACATCAATATTATCACATTCACAGAAATATATATATATACACAGTTCTGTGTATATACTTTTTTAAGAAAAAAAATCTATTGGTTACTCAACATTACGCAGCTACCAGATTTACAAACTCGAGCCTAACACAAGCCCTGCACAGGACAGGACTGGAGGGCGATAGATCCGAAGCAGTCAGACAGAACGGGTTTGGAGGCAGGAACAGGAGGAGAGGGCTAAAAAGGTGCTCCAAGACTGGTTCCAAAACTGCCAGAACACCCTTTCCTAGTCAACATTTATCCTTTTACAAGCATTTGCACGTATTTTATTACAGATGAGGCTAAACATAAGTAGCCCGGGGCGGGGGGTTGGTGTGTGTGTAGATAAATGAAAAAACCTCACAACAGTCTCATTATTTCAGTAGTAACAGTGAATAAAAAACCTCTTCCTGACGTTATTCGAAGGAACGACGTTTCTTACCAGAACCTCATAGCTTGCAGCGTGGAAACATCTTCCTGCTTCTCTTTCCCAACAGCGTCGAGCACCCCTGCACCCCAAAATGAAGACACAAAAAACCACAGTGAGAGAAATGGAATTAAGCATGATGCTAAACAACACGCAGGGACTAACAGGAATGAGCCATTTGTGCACCTTTAAGAAGGTGACCCCATTGGGGAAATGTGCAGAAGCACGTGAAATTCAGCAGCATTAAATTCTCACTCATTTTTCTCATTTTCCAAAAGCGACACGGAGACGCGGAGACCGTCATCGCTAACCTTGAACCAATTTAAAAGCGTTCCCAAGAATGTGCTAATAGTTAAGCCGCCTAAAAATGCACATAAATTAGTGTTTCATTTCCAAATCGTGCGAAGCCGCACGAGAGAAACATCCATCCGGAGGCAGGGATTTGCACCAGCAAGCTTCGGATTAACAACCCCTGGGAAGCACGGGTTTAACTGCCCTGGCCAAACAAAGAGCACGCTGCCACAAGTCGGTAACGGCGGCAGGATTTTACGTGACATTTCCTTGGCAGAAATTCCTTCAAAAAGATAGATCTGCCCCCAAAACGACTGGCAGAGGTCAAACGGGTTGGCCACTTGCATAGCACATTGTCTTGACCGTCACAGAATCAGAGAATGTTGGGGGTTGGAA